TGAGGAAAACATTGTTTAATACTTCGTACACAATTCACTACGGTATATATATATATTCATGAGGAGTGCTGTGGGAAACCTTACACCTAAGTTCAACATAATCCACAATAGTTGACAGGATCCGTCAAGCAGATGTCATTTTATGATAGTCAAACTTGTTAAACAAAACATCCGTAAACTGAAATGTATTAATCCGAGACATCTCTGAGCTACAACATATGATTTGTCTCTAAATGTAAGAATTTTGATTTTCTACCCAAATTTTATCATTATCACTTTCAAACAAATTTTTCATTTTACTCCGCTTGAGCAGACTATCTATGAGATTGGTTATTGAAATTATTTTCATTGATTTCACTAATTAGAAACGCTTGGGCTTTATTAAAATAACCGCTCTTATTACGGACTGTTCGGCCATGTTTCCAGTGATGGGGCCCAAACAGGACAAAACAGGAGTGACGACGTCCGCTGCTGACCACTATCAAACAGATACCATTATATCTATAAATTTGTTTGCTTCAAAGTATGTCGATCAACTATTAGTCGTGTAATATAGGCAAATTACTCATAAATTTGGCTTCAGAGACTACAGAAGACTGCACTAAGCCTTGCTATTGACATCGAAGTCCTGAAATGTAACTTGACATTGATTTGAGGAACTGTTACAGTGGCAAAACAGTTGTTTATGAAACTAGCATGTTGAAACTACAAAGCAGATATAAACCGTAAAAGTAATTCATACACATCGATGATTTTAGCGAAACCAGTTATGAATCTAAACTCAGAATAGTCGTAGTTTAACTTATCTATGATATCATAAGGTAATAACGACTGGAAATGATAGTTTCCAACCACTCGCGTCAATCACTGGAATATAGAAAACAATATTTCTCCTTCATTTCTTGGTTTAGTTTACTGACTCACTAGTTATTTAGCCAGTACAAAGCATGGGAAAAGAGTATATCAGGCGTGAGTCTAGAGGCAGTGGCACTGCCATAGAATGCTCACCGACCACACATACGGTCTTGATTTCAATACCCAGTTGTCTTACTCCCTTACTTCGCTAAGCCAGTAATAAGACTGGTAAAGAGGGAAGGTTGGACATGAGGCTGGCAACCTCATCCAATAAAAATGGACACCATTGCTACTGAAACTTAAAGCCTTTAGTTTGAAGCCCTATGTTCCAGTGAGAGCGTAAGGGGAAAAAAGTATGCGTTAAGTGACCCTACTCAAACTTCTGCAGAAAATTCGAAGAACGAGAAAAATGTAAAAACCAAACTTTCTCTTCACCGGAATTGTAGGGGCGAAATGATGCGCGAAAGCCTTCTGAAAGGCAGTCAGCCAATGTGTCTTCCACCGATGAAAGCAACAATAAGAATGGGAACGTGGAATGTACGTACAGTGTACGAAATTTGGAAAGCTGTCCAGGTAGCCAAAGAAATGAGAAGATCTGGTACAGAAGTGCTAAGATTTTGCGAAAGCAGATGGATTGGCTTTGGAATATTTAAACTGTCAACTGGAGAGTCGGTAGACTATTCCTGTCACCCAGAAGACAACCACAAGCACACTGAGGCAGTGAGTGACAATCATAATGTCACCAACAGCAGTCGAAGCTCTAGTGCAGTGGAAAGCAATTTGCTCCAGGATTATGACAGCATGATTCAATTGAAAAGGAAGGAGAGTTACAATTATCGAATGCTACGCAAAGTGCTACAAACAACGCGGAACAAGAGCAGAAGGAATAATTTATATAGATAAGTACAAATAGTAATAGACGACATCCCAAATGTTAACATCAAAATCCTCATGGGCGATATGGATGCCAGACTAGGAGCAGATAATACAAGTAGAGAACTCATCATGGGTTGAGAGGCACTCGCTCGGCGAAATGAATGATAACGGCGAGTGTTTTCACACTTCTGTGTCTTCGGCGATTCAGTGATTGGAGGTAGCATGTACAAGCACAATGATATACACAAGATAAAATGGATTTCGTCTGACGGACCAGATAGACTTCATCTCAATTTCAAGGAAATGGAGACTCAGCCTGCTGGACACAAAGTCGAGAAGGGGAGCAGATGTGGGCTCAGACCACTATCTAGTTCACGGAACCTTCAAGGTCAAGCTGAAATCCCTGAAAACAAATGGAAACAGGCCACTGCAATTCAAGCTCAACATTCAGAGACTGAAAGACAAAATGACAAGGGATACTTATACTACAGATATGATCAGAGCAAAGTAGGAGACACTGCGTGGCATCACTGAGAAAATCTGCGCGAAAAGACATTGGAACCCTTTGAAGGTGGTGTTCAAGGAAGCGTGTACAACTATCCTAGGAAGAAAGAAGATACAAGACAAGGAATGGCTCTCAACGAATACCTAGAAGCTAATCAAGGAGGGGAGAGGATGATGGTGAAAGTGAAGATGACTCCTTGCAGACATAGACAACAGAAGGCGAAGCTGAGTTCAGTGTACACTGCATTGAACAAAGAAGTGAATAAGAGTGCTAGGAAAGACAAAAGACAATTCTACGACACACTGTTCAGCAACTGAAGCAGAACAGGTAGGCCGCAGGTAAAAGAGACCTCAGGACATTACATTAGGTAACCAGGCCTCTATCCGAAAAGCGATCAACCCAGATGACGAAACCAATAAAAGATGTTCAAGGGAACACGATCACCAAAGAAGAGAAACAAATAAAACAATGGGCTGATCACTTCAAAAGACTCTTGAATTAACCATCACCTGCAACTCGCCCAGAAATACACCACCACCAGTAGCACACATAAAACTACCTGCCAGTGGACACCAATCCTTCAACAAAAGCAATAGTCCTGAATGCGATCAAGCTACTGAAGTCCTGCTGGGAGGGCAGCAGGCCCAGATGGAATTCCCCCGAAGCACTGAAAACGGACCCAGAGACTGTGGTAGATGTGCTCGCGCCATTATTGCAAAAGGTTTCGAAGGAAAGAAAGGTACTTACTGATTGGAAGAAAAGCTGGCTACTTTATCATGCTGCCAAAGAAGAGCAACTTACCTCTCTGCAAGAACTGGCATTGAATAACGCTCTTGTTTAAGCCAAGTAAAATACTTAGTCGCACCATCCTGGAGAGAATAAAATGTGCAGTGAATGCAGAACTCCGCTCAACCACCCAGAACAAGCTGGATTCAGGAAATGCAAATCATGTGCTGGTCATATTGCAACTCTACGCATCGTCATTAAGTAAAGCATAGAACGACATTCAAACCTCTCCCTACCTCAACTTCATCGACTTAGAAAAGGACTTTGATAGCGTTCACCGAGAAGTAATTTGGAAACAGCTTCAGTACTGTGGAGTGCAGTGTCCCAAATCTTTATCAACCTCGTTCAACAGTTGGCTGTATGGCAATGCCACTTGTCAGGTAATCCACAACGGGAAACTCAGTGAAGCCTTTAAAGTGAGTACTGGATTAAGATAGACTAGATTGCCTGTTATCACCGATGATATTCCTAATTGTGGTGGACTGGATTATGCGTCAGACTGTGAATACGAATGACAAGACAGGAATACCTGGAGTGAAGATCAGAAGACACTGGAAGATTTGGATTTCGTGCGTGGATGATTTATATCTCATATCACACAACTTTGAAGACCTGTAGGAGATATCAACAAGTTGGCACGAAACGCAGGAAAGAGTGGACTACAAATGAACATAGAGAAGACGAAGGAGATAAAGATAACTAGCCACCACCAACAACAACCAGTATCAATTATAATCAACAGGCTATATTTGAAAAAGACTACTTCCGTTACATATCTAGGAAGCGTCGTTTCAACTATAAGCGGAGAGCACGGCTGAGGATGTCAAAACCAGAATTGGAAAGGCAAGGAACACCCTCATCAATCTGAAATCGGTTAAGAAGTCTGCTTCACAGCATTCAGCCAACAGAACCAAGAAGATTCGGATTTTCAACACAAATGTAAATTCAATCAGTTCTTCTATGTAGGTCCAAAACTTGGCGCTCGCGTCACGAAAGACATGTCCAACAGGCCATTGTAGACTTTTACCAACAACCTTCTTCTCTGGCTTCATATTGAGAGAAGATCAAACAGCTAGAAATGATTCTCAGCTAAAACCTCTGTGAAAAAACCAACCAACAACCTATCACTCAACAAATATGCAGAGGAAAATGGAGAGCGACCACACATACGCTGAGGAGACAGTTGGTTGACATTACACTCCAGGTGCTAGAGTGGAACTTGGATGGGAAACGACGATTTGAGCGACTGAGGATGACATGGAGATCGTGTGAGGAGGAGATGAAAGACGATGGGCAATCATGGGATAATAGGACAAAGTGGAGATGTTCTACTGAAGCCGTATATTCCACTGGGAACCCAAGGCAACAATAATAATGTAATATAATATCGGTACAGTACTTCCTTCAACAGATTAAAATATGAGCTAGGTGAACAATGCTGGAATAAAACCTTGCACATTTAGATTTATTATAAGATAGAAAATTTAGGTTAATGGAAAAGTTATTTTGTGGTGATTCCGAACGGAAGTTAGAACATTCTACATTCAGACAGTAAATCAAACGAATAGATACACGTTTCGCTACTATCATTTAACCGGGAGACTAGAATATTTTACCATATTCATTTTATAGTTAACTTAAATGAATTCTCCTTGCATATTGATGCCAAGGTACTCCAGGTGGTCAACCAGAGTTGTGTATAAAGTCAAAAGGGGCCTTTCAGAAACGGTGTGCCTCCGTATACTTTGCATTACTGAGGTCTTAGCGATTCGGATGGAAAACCCCGACCTATTCATTCCAACCTGATCGCTAAACTATAAAAACTTTTGATAAACGAAGGGCACTAAATGAGGATTCTTTCAACACTAAAAGGCGTTTTACATCAGTATGCTACTCCATACTCCATAGCTTTTATGTCCAAATTTGAAAAAAACAAACTTATCTTGTTCACTTTTTTTGTTTTTTAAATTCTGCACAGAACCATCATTTTATACTCACGTAGAACATTTCCCCTATGAAGAAACCAGTACAATCAATAATCCACATTCTGTACAAGTTCACGTAAATGATCCAGATTCAACCTATCATCTTTCGATGAATGAAAGAGCAGGTAGACGTAGAATTTCACCAGTTGGAAATGTTTCATCCAGATCACGCCTCACAAGTACAAATAGAATGCTGCCTACACCGGTAAGTGGGATTAATTCGTGTAAATTTTGTAAAATAGTATAAACTCTGTTTTCTTTGTTTTGTTTTTGTTAATTTTGTACAATTCTTTCAAATGAAACACACCATTTTATATGACCGAAATTTATCTGTATCTGTGGATGAGTCAAACACTTAATGTGTTGGTATTAAAGATTTTAACTGCCATTATTGCAAACAGGAGGAAATCATAAGAATATTCTTATTATGCAGTAAATACAGGACTTATGACTACAGAAATTAAGTTAACTGATAAAGTGCTAGATGAAAGCATTACCAATCAAATATTTTTTCCCAAGTACTGTCTTGACATTTGTTGCCCAAGAGAGCCATGACCCTTTTTCTCTCCAATTCAAACACCGCAAAGAAAATGAAAGGTTATATAAGGTGAAGGATAACTCTCATATGCAAAAACTGCAATTATTTTAGTGAAACCTGAAATATTGAGGCTAAATGTAATATATAACGAGAAGTGTATACAATATCAAAACTCTTTAGATATGTGGAAACTATTTGAGGAAGTCACTGGTGAAAAGCAGATTAATGATAACTCGTTCTGTTCTTGTAGTGCTTGTGTCGTTAACAAGTCTTTCATACACTGTCCAGAAGATGATATGCTTTCTAATGTTCTAATACAAATACCTCCAGTCGTTGATTTTTTCCCACAGCCCAGGTTCAGATGACATACCAAGTATTATTCACAGAAAATGTACGGACATTTTATGTCATCGTCTGACTCATATTTCTAATGCATCATTTGTCAGAAATGCTGTGCCTGCCGCTTAAAAAATATGGAGATTTCACTTTCAACTAAGTCATCTACTGAATCTAATGCACAGTCCTGATCAACCGCCACCACCTCAGCCCCTTTAAAAATTGGTCGTTATATCGAACATTAATTAAAGGTCTTTAGTAATGCAAAATAATTTGATTACAAATGTATTGGAAGTGCTTTTGATGCTGCCTTTAGATGTCTTGCATCATAATATTGTTTTCCCTTTGAACTAAGGTGCCAGATTTGTTCTCTATGTCTTACGGGACTACAAGTCTGCTTTTGAATCTGTACCTAGGCCTAGCTTGTTACATAAGCTTGTTTTGATACAGACTGAGCATTAGGTTGATAACTGGATGCATTCTTGTTTTTTGGGGAAGAAACCATATACTGACTGCAAAGGAAATGCTTCTAGTTATTTGCTTACTGAAATCAGTTTCCCTAGGGGTGGTGTTCTTTCCCTTTTTCATTTTTATTTCTTCTCACATAGTTTGCTTCGTTCCAATGGAACTAATTTCATCAAGTATTGCTATTATCTGACTGTTTTCGTATATGTTACCATCCGATTAGATTGCTCAAAATTGAATGGCTTTCCATCAGAAATTAGCCAGTGGTATTTGTCAAGTGGCCTCAAACTAAGTCTTTTCAAATATCAGACTGTTGACTTTATATTCGTATATAAACAAGACTTACGTGAACTGGTTCGTCCTCACGATTCATGTAACATAGAGGGTACTGGTCTCTCCTAACCGTCTCACATTCTGGCGATTTCTAGGAATATACTTCATCTAACAATAAAACACATGGAGGTTAAAACACTAAGGTATAACTCAGTTTCTAGTTTTACAATTTGTTAATTCTTGCATCATGTCTATTCTTGTTGTTACTCTCTTATATTCTTTCCTCAGCTACTTAAAAAAGGGCTTTGTTACACTGTTAGTAAGGTCACTAGTGTACCACTACACCAACTTGTTGAAATCATCATTAACAGAGATCTGAAGTCATGCAAGAAATCAGAAAAATCATTTCGTCGGACTTTCAGTACTCCCTTTGCTCACAGCTTTCTCCACGTTCTTTTTCAAGTAGAACCAGAAGCAATTAAAAAAAGATTTTATGCTTCTGACTTGTGTATTGGCTTCAATCCCTTCAAAGGAGTTCCAGTTAATTTTGTAGTACTGTGTACATAACCAGGATTCAGCCTTTCACGACAGGCAATTTCTTGTTGATTCCAATAATATAATCACTTTTTCTCTGAAAAATTCTATTTGGTTCAATTTCTAAACTATCTATGTGAGTTTATTGTATTGAATGACTTAAGCCTTTTTATTCACTTGCCTATCATATATTTCCTTATACATGAAAGACAACCAGTTTATTGAGTAGGCTTGCATCTCATCAATCAAGCATAACTAAGAAAAACATGTGGAAAATCAATAAGACAGAAAATGTTTCAAACGAGTGATTTTGAAATTCTATCAAATTCAGAAATAGTTACATATAATTCTCTAGTAAAAGTAACCAATAAATAACAATAAACTGGAGTTGAAATTTTTCTCTCAGCATTTTGAATAAATAGGGCGAAAATATTGAAGGATTAGTTTGCGCACTGATTGAAACATGTTTGAGAAATGTGAAAAACTCAGCTGTAATAAGTAGCTGTCTCCTTCAAATCAAAACAATCTTAAAGTTGTTTTATTCTTCAAATTAGGAGAATGAAAATTTTGAGAAGAAGAATTTCCTACTAAACCGAAGCCTGGAGAAATCAAGATATGAGGTCTTTAAATCTGTGATAATTTAACTCATTCCAAAGTTATGTCGATCACAAAATGGTATCTGTTGGAATATTTATTTCACCCTGAGTTAGTGCTCTACATTAGTTAAGTTTTTATTCACTTCCCACTATTGAAGGAACTAAATGCAGGATGACAGAAATTCTAATAAAAAGTTATGGCATAAACGGTTACTGTAGTTGGTTATGAGGGTGAATTGTCATTAATTTTATTCCATTTCCGTTCCAAGCGGAACATAGGGATTAGAGCTTGAGTTGTGAATTTGCAATAGCAGATGTATTCATATTTTTACGGCATATGGCTGCTCTCCTGATACCCAACCTTCTTTACTTTGGTTAACTACCGACTAATCGAGGTTAAGGAGTGAGCATGCAGGGAATCGAACCCCGGACCACATGCGCGTTGACTGAGTGTTCTACTAATGAACTGCCGGAGGAAGAAACCAAGGGCCCAGCTGCAATATCAACTCGGGATAAATAACCACTAATATTATCTGGTGAACTCATAAAATTCTTAGATGATGATTGATTCATTTCCAGCTCAACAAATACTCACAAAAGCCAGATCTTTACTTCATTCGTCATGGTGTAATGCATAAGTGCTGCTCAGTAATCCCAGACTAGAAAGAGAGATATTTTGTGTGGTGCCTGATTCTCAGTGACTTCGCCAGTTGTTATATCTTTGTGATGGGATCAACTGTAGGCTCAAGGTAAGCGATTACGACAGATATAGTATTCTGCTAGAATTTCCCATTACTTCCTAAGTATCCAAATTTTTATCAGAAAGGTAAGACAACTTATCTTTAAGCAGTTCATTCATTGGTGGTAGATAACAACTTCAACGATGCTAGTTTCTTCAGCAACAAGAGAATGGACTTGCACTAGCATAACTATCCAGTAATTTCCTTATATCACTAAATAATTAGCACTGTTTACGAATTAAGTAGTTCCATCTGACTACCGGTTCGGTCACATGTCTACTAAAAATACAAAAAACAACATGATTTCCATTTCATTTGTGAACGATGTCAATCTCTTTAGTTATAATTACCGGGTGCTTTCAGCTGACATCAAGACAAGTAGATATTCATATTTACCTGGAACAGGTCAGTTCCACCATACTCATTTTTACTGGGTTTTTTTCCTTCACGTTCCCAGTGGAACATAGGGCTTCAGGCTAGGGGCTTGAAGTTTCTGTAGCAGTGTTTATTTTACAGGATGAGGTTGCTAGCCTCATGCCCAATCTTTTCTCTTTACCAGCATTATTTCTGGCTCAGCAAGGTAAAGGAGTGCGTCGGCCGGGGATCGAACTCTGGATCATGTGCATGGTCGGCGAGCGTCCTAACCGCTATGCCACCGATACCATTTTTACTGTACTGAAATGATCAGTCTCTGTTGGTCCATAGGCTCCTAAAATATACGCCACAGTGATGCCTGTGATCACGATTTCATATTGCTTAATGCTAACCACAACAATTTTTTCTCTTAGTCTTGAAAGGTTTTCTCTTTGCAAATGTTATAAAAATGACTGAAGCACATTTTTATTTCAATTATAACCAAAAAACATTTCCCTTGGCATTTTTGATCATTTCACTCAGTGAATAGTTTGACATACTATTGATAACAACATACTACTTGAAGTAAAATCTTACAGATAAGAGGAACTTCAATAAGTGAAATTTTAAAAAAACAAGTGACGCAAAATTAATGTACAAAAATGGCAGTATCTATAACTTCCCTCTAAATATTTCATAATTTTTCATAAATCTGAAAATATATAAATGTAATATATTAATACGTACATGTTTGTAATAGGAAGTGATTTCTGAAAAGTTCAGTCAGTCAGGTTTTGAAAACACTTATGCTCAGATGGAACTTTTGCAGCGTAATGTGAATTCAGTAGTTAACTTTATAGTTTACTGCTTCTAAATCTACTGTTAGGCAATTTCATATCCTTAGAGAGATTAATGAATTCCATTTCTAAGGGGTGACAGGTCATATAGGAATAAGGTTTAGATGTTTTGGTAGAGTATAATTCCTTGAAAGAATAATGCGATTTGATAGTACAGTATTATCTATTTACTAACGACGTTCTGAATATAATATACCGCTCATAATTGTATCTTTCTTTTATTCCTTTGCGTTCCCAGTGGAGCATAGGGCTTCAAACTAGAGGCTTGAAGTTTTGGTAGCAGTTGTATTTATTTTCTACGGATGGGTTGCTAGCCTCGTACCCGATCTTCCCTCTTTACCAGTCTTATTACTGGCTAAGCAAGTGCGTCGGCCGGGGATTGAGCCCCGAACCACCTGCGTAGTTAACGGGTATAGCTATATCAGATACTAAAATTAGCAAATGAGGTTGTTCTATTAAGGTAACACTTCACTGCAGAGAGTCACTTTGTATTATAATTTCACGGTTAAAAA